GTGTAAATCTATTTGCACGATGCCACGATGAGAGCTATCGACGACAACGAGAACATCGAGTTCCTGGAGCAAGGGTTTAGGAATCATAACGTGAACAGAATGCAGATAATGGAGAATCTACATCGTGGCTTACCCGCGCACTCGAAGCCGAGGCGTGATATCATTAGAGATATATTCGAGGACAATCACATAGAAAGTAAAGTCAGAAGCACCTGTAGTAAATCGCATTGAAATTTTAGACATTGTCGCATTAAGGATCATAATATAGATAGCACGAGATCTACCTTTCGTCTCGCTTTCGTTAATTCCGTTCAACTTTATCGCGCGGACCTTGTCGACAAATGAAATGTATAAAGAAGAAATATATGCATTATATATTTTTCCGATGTATTGAGATTTGAATCGACTCGTCTGAGGATGCCGTTGCGATGAATATTAGATACATTTCTTTAAAAAATGAATAACAAACGAGCAACGTATTTTACTTAATGCCTTAAAATAAAGCGAGGTACATGTTGGTTTTTTAATGAATAAAGCAAAGAAAGTTTCGATAAACGCACGGTTTATGGAACGTTTATTTTTCAAGAAGTTAGACTTTCGTTTTCAAATTGGTTGCTTGCATTGTGTTTTGTATCGATTGTCTCGTGTATGAACTGTAAAGATTCAATTATATGAATATATACCCTAGCGGAAAAAATTTCTATAAATAACTACAAAAAATTGACTTGAAATAGAAATTTGTAGAAATTTTTGTATCTTCGTTGAAACATTAATTTTTTTGTAAAAATATCTACAAAATAGTACCACAAATTACAATGTTCTCAAATCAAGAAATTATTGCGAGTAATATTTCATGAAAATGTACAATTTTGTAAAAATTAGTACAAAACTTTACTGGTTTTAAAAAATTTGTGAAACAACAAAATCTTAAAGAATTAAAACATCCGCTTACTTGTAGAATATTACAAAAATTAACAAAAGTGCTCCAATTCTAGCATTTTCATGTTGATTTTCACAACACTTTTTAAATTTACGTAGAATTTCGTGGATTCTGGCAGTTATATTTAATTTTTTTGTAGAATTTTGTAGAATTACTTTCGGCAGGGACAGGACGAAAGGAGCTGACAAAAGATTCTCAGATACAGTATTGAAAAGTTTTCATCAAATTTTACAATTTTTAATTTTTCAAGTTTTAAATTTGTATCATTCAGGCCTCTTTGTCTCCAACTGTTACTCTAGAAAGAGACAAACGAACTGAGATTAAAGTTAGGCGACGTTTGGTGAAACCGGGCCTCAGCGGTGAAGAATTCACGATTGACTACAGAACGACTCGAGTTCAAATCCGACCGGAAATAAGATCTTACGCGGGGCCAGTGATCCCAGATTGCGGGATTTCTGGCGCACGCGCAGTAGCGCAAGCCTTTCTGCCATGCGCATAGCGATCACGTGACTACCATGAAAGACTCGTACATACAGGCAACGTGGGGGGTTTCTAGGAACCGTGTTCTTTACTATTCAATTTTACATAGATTTTTTATTAAAACTCATATTAATGATTTATATATTATATAGAGCAGTTTATTAAACATTTATTTAATTGATAAAAAACTTTTTGTACGATATTTCCTATACTCTTCTTGTGAGGGTTCTATCTAACCCTCTAGTTAAGAAGAACGTATACGCTACTGAGCGGCTGCTCAAGCTTGCGCTACTGCGCGTGCGCCAGAAATCCCGCAATCTGGGATCACTGCGCGGGGCACGTGGAAAGTTGGTTACGACACTGTGTCGGTGTGCCAGGCATACGTATGGACTCGCGGTGGATTCTTCCTTCCAAGAGGCGACGATCGAATAACAATTTCTGGATTCGAATACAATTTTCAACGCTGGTCTCGGCCAATTAAAGAAGCGCATACGGTGCACGTCTTTTTGCGCTATGGTCACTACACGTTATCAAAGTAATAATTATTATAGCGGAGCTATTCGCACTGCATGCACCTTGATAACCAACTGTTGCACAGTTGGAGAGAATTTTCTTTTAAAATTTATCCCGAAAGTATTGTAATCGTGGGACAACACAGCATTTCGAAGAATTTTAGGAGAGTTTTTTTGAAATTGTACCACACATTTCACTAGTAATTAGACTCACTGTACATTTTACTAGTAAAGTTGTTCAAAATGCCATGTTGTCCCACAATCACACGACTTTCAGGATAAATTCTAGGAGCAAATGTATGGTAAACTGTCAAGAAACTCTCATAAAGTTCTTCAAAATGCTATGTTGTCCCGCATAATCTTCGGAATAAATTTTAGTAGAAAATTTATCTCCGTGTACTTGTCCAATGCAACGCGAGTTCAATTTCTGTTCCAACGTTCTCATTAACCAATTACATTGAATAATATTTCGTTTCTCAGGTGTCTCTCCGTATCGCTGCACCGCGTCATGGAGGTGAGGTGCCGGCATTGCTGTAAATTTCTTTTCAAGGGCGACTCTGTCTTGTTCAATGCGCACCACGAGATGAAGCAGCAGGCGGCGGATGTAGGATGCCAAGAAGGCGAGTCCGATTGCTGTTCGTACATGACTCCGGAGAGTGCACCGGATTGGATTATGGATGCCATTGATCAGGTATACCTTTCTCATCAAGATGTTGAGACTAAACGTACATGTGCGAATTACAAGTCCGGATAATTGGTTTCTTGAAGGAATCTTGGACCAAGGGAAAAATACATTGTCCGTACTGCAACAGTCGCTTAGGATCCTTCAACTTTGTGAACGAGTTCAAGTGCTGCTGCGACAAGTATGTGAGGCCTCCCATAAGGATAGTCAACTCCAAAGTGGACATATTGTGTGAAGGTTTGGGACAGTGAGCAAGAACAGAATTTATGTATATGTACATCGCCTCTGTTTAATACATCGTTGTATATTGTTGTACAGTACCCACACAGCATAGAAAGATTGCAGGAAGATTGCAGAAATGTTACATTGCAAGTTTGCAATATTGCAGCAACGTTGCGCAACATTGCTGCAACGTTTCTGGAGGATCGCAGCAACGTTGAAATGTCCGCCCTCAGAGAGATTGCAGTGCAATATCTTTGGAATAATTTGTCGTTGTACATAAGCAGAGAATTTACTAATTACATATGCATCCGGGCCTTTTTCAATACACAGCAAGCTATTGCGAAGCAACCTAAGGAGATTATGTCGCTTCGCAATAGATGAAGATTGCGAGCAACACCGCACTGATGAAGTACTTATTCGCGCATTATTGGTGTCAATGAAAATAACATTATAAAACTCTCGTAATTAGAAAAACTTTTCAAATAGAAAATATAGTATTTTTATTATTTTTGAAACATTGCTGCAATATTGCTATCGAAAGTTCGCAATTTCATATCTCTGCAATGTCTCTGCAAGATTGCAACGTTTCTGCAATGTAACTGCAACCATCTGTGCTCAGTGCTGTATGGGTACTTGTGAGAACTACCTCCGTAAGAGTAAATAGTTTTCCCAGACACCGCTTATGTCTAAAAGACGCTACAAAGATATCTTTAAGACATTTTAGACGTACATGTCTAAAAGACAACCTAATGACGTCTTAAAAATATCTTTTAGACATGTATGCTATTTGGGTTGGTAAAATTGTAGGAAATATATTTCTATGAACAATTTCGTTATTTTAGATAATATGTGAAATAGTTTTTTTTCTATTACATTTGTTACGTAGCAAATAAAGATACACCAGTCCGACTTTTGTTATCTTTTAGATCTTTTTTATTTAATTCATATTTACATTATTTTATTACATCTTTTCCAACTTATATGTATAATGTGTCTATATAAAGATATATAGACGTGGCGAGGATGTATCAGAGATCTCTTAATTTATATAACAATCTTATACTCTTCTTTGTTTTTACAGTGAAATGGTACCGCATGATATTAATTACAGATAACATTGTTAACCAGTGCCTCTGTTTACTGTATGTACAAGAAGTGTAAAATACAGGATTTCTTTAGATTATGTACAAAACTCGGATGCATTATACGGATATGATGTACAATGTATATCAATGTCCAACTTCATATTTAGGTAGAAGGGTTCACATTATAAATCAAATCGCTAGTTTCTAATTTCAATCGCTTTGCGACATTAAGCGATATTGTTCGTCACCTTTTAAAGTGAATTCTGAATTTAATTTCTGAATCCTTGTGACCTTGTGTTATATTTTATGAAAGATGTTTTGACTGACAATGACTATGGTACATTCAAATTAATTACACATGCACTCTAGTAATATTACTTCAATGGATTCAATATTAGTCGTAGGGAGCTTAGTCCAGCTAAGAATTGATATTGAACGAACTAATCCATAATGTTTTAATAATGTCAGGCGCATCCAGCTCCCCTTCTTAATTTACACACGCGACAATTTTCACCAGGATCCTCGTAAACAATGATAACATTTATATATATATATATTTAATATTAGAAAAATATTGTATACATGATATACCTTCTGTCACTTGTGAAAAGAACTTTTATAATAAGGTTTGGTAAGAGAGAAAATAAAATATATTTTCATTATAACAAATGTAACAATTTGTTCAAGAAGTCGCGTTTCAGACAAGTAGATTCTACATTTTGTTCCTATTTATAGCTGTGCACTATCTATTTTCACTACATAACAACTACTTTTCTTACAGCTCTTTTTGGTTTCTCTTTGCCAAATTTTTAGACGATTCATCACAGTGTCTTAAACTAAAAGAAACATAAAAGTACTCGGAAGAAAGGAACATACATTAATTTTTTTTTACGTGATTAATACGGAGAGAACTCTTACATAACGCAGTTTCACATTCAAGGCACATATGGTCCACTAAACAACGTTATGTAAAATGGTTCAGCGCTACGTATAAAAGTTAGTCGATCCATTCCTCGCGATATCATTACGATGAAAAGAGATCGTAAAACCGGGATACGACAATTATCATACAAGAATATTACTACAAGATACGAACGGTCTTACGACGTGAAAAAAAAGAGAGAGCGCTGCGGAGTTGAATTAAATCAAACTACAATAAACTGGATCAACCAACGTCAAACGGGAGAAGCGACCTCCTATTAGCATTGATATACAGTACATCCTCTCCTACAAGCTTTTTAATAACAGTCACGCAAGACACAGAATGTTACAGCCCAATGAAACTTAGACGCTATAACTGGAACATCTCGTCTTGCTGCTGCTCAAGTCTTTGCAAGGAAGTCTTTACTCTTCTTCCTTGGGTCATAACCACAGCGGTCGGAAAGTTATGCATATCACTAGAGGACACGGGTCTGACGGAGTCAGAGGAGGACGTCGAGTAGGTATTCGATGTGGTTGGAAATGAGTTTCGCAGTTTGGCCGACCCGCGTCGTCGTTGTACGTAAACGTCATTGCCGTCGGTGCAGAATCTGAAAGTAATTCACAGAAGCGAGGACATTATTTTGCATTCGGCGTACTTTTTGTAACGTTAAATTGCACTCGGACAAATTCGTGGACAAAAGGGAGGTTTCAGTTTTGCAAAAATACTCGTCTCTCGGAACGAGACGCGCGCGTGAAAACGCAAGTCCTACCGAATGCATATAAAGGCAAAGAAAATGAACTGATCAGAAATTCTTCAGGGTCGCCAGCAAAAATTAACATCAAATTTGGTTGACCATATCTGGCAATTTTAATGGTTTAGTATCGCGACGTTTCGACCATGCCCACACAGCACAGAAAGATTGCAGGAAGATTGCAGAAATGTTACATTGCAAGATTGCAATATTGCAGCAACGTTTCTGGAGGATTGCAGCAATGTTGAAATGTCCGCCCTCAGAGAGATTGCAGTGCAACATTATAGCAATGTTACAGTGCAATATTTTTGGAATAATTTGTCGTTATTGTACATAAGCAAAGAATTTACTAATTACATATGCGTCCGGGCCTTTTTCAATACACAGTAAGCTATTGCGAAGCAACCCAAGGAGATTATGTCGCTTCGCAATAGGTAGAGATTGCGAGCAACACCGCACCGATCAAGTACTTAATAATTCGCGCATTATTGGTGTCAACTAAAATAACATTATAAAATTCTCGTAATTAGGAGAATTGTTTAAATAGAAAATATAGTATTTTTATTATTTTTGAAGCATTGCTGCAATATTGCTATCGAAAGTTAGCAATTTTATATCCCTGCAATGTCTCTGCAAGATTGCACTGCAATCTGCAAGATTGCAACGTTACTGCAACCATCTGTGCTGTATGCCCACACAGCACAGAAAGATTGTAGGAAGATTGCAGAAATGTTACATTGCAAGATTGCAATATTGCAGCAACGTTGCGCAACATTGCTGCAACGTTTCTGGAGGGTTGCAGCAACGTTGAAATGTCCGCCCTCAGAGAGATTGCAGTGCAACATTATAGCAATGTTATATATTGCAATATTTTTGGAATAATTTGTTGTTGTACATAAGCAGAGAATTTACTAATTACATATGCATTCGGGCCTTTTTCAATACACAGCAAGCTATTGCGAAGCACCTAAGGAGATTATGTCGCTTCGCAATAGATGGAGATTGCGAGCAACACCGCACTGATCAAGTACTTAATAATTCGCGCATTATTGGTATCAACGAAAATAACATTATAAAATTCTCGTAATTAGAAACATTTTTTAAATAGAAAACATAGTATTCTTATTATTTTTGAAACATTGCTGCAATATTGGTATCGAAAGTTTGCAATTTTATATCCCTGCAATGTCTGTGCAAGATTGCAACGTTTCTGCAATGTAACTGCAACCATCTGTGCTGTATGGGTTGGGTTTTGGTCCTTTTCTAGCAATCGTGGCTGATACAAATTAAATTTTACAAATTAATAGTCATCACATTCGAGATAATAGGCTAGCGATTACATAAACTGTGTGTTACCTGAGGTACTCATGTACAAAGACTCGCATGTATTACAGTGGTCTTGAAAGAATAGTTATTACAATCCATAACTAAAATTGAGAAAGAAAATAACTTACTCACTGTTCCCTTGAGCGCGTTTCACCTCTCTCTTGGCGCTGGCTATCGAGCTATCCATCTTAGCCAAGAAATCGTTAACCGAGCTCTCGTCGCCAATCGACGACGATATCGAAGAAGGACTAGACATCTGCAAACACGACACATTCGTCAAGCGTATCGACGCCGCGGAGGGGCAAATCTTACTCACATTTGGAGGGACATCGTGCTCCTCGGATGCCACCGACTCGTCGTTACACCCCGAGGCGGGACTGTCCGCGCTGACGGGGATAAGCAGGTGCTCCCGTAGAAATAAACTATCTGACGCCCACAATCTATTGATCCTTCTTATCTGCTCCGTCTGCAAGAATCGGAGAAACGTCAATGACGGACGAAATCTTTGTACTCTCGAGACGACGCGTATGTAATATGTGGGTTTTCGTACCGTGACTCCGTATTTAAGCGCTATCCCCTGGAGGGTGTCCGCGGGGCACACCGTGTGCTTCACCAGGCTGTCGGTGCGCGTCACGTGCTTGGCCGTGCTGCCGTACTTCTTCAGGGCCCTGCCGGTGTCCCGGATGCACCGGCGCTCCTCCATCTCCCTGGCGCCGTTCCGCTCCATCCGTTAGGCCGCCGGGACGCTCACGAGGGGCCGGGGGCGCACCATAACTCGTTGACGCACGTCTCGGCCCTCACATAACCTGTCTGCGGGGGGGGGGGGATATTTTTCCGCGGATCAGGGGACGCGTCTCCTCGGCGAGGAGGCAGGCGCACCTCGTGGAGGAGCTCCCGCGTCCCTCCTCGTCCTCCGCGCGCGGCCACGGGAGGACGACGGGCCGATGCGGTGCACTCACAAGGCGCGTGGAACGACAACAAACCACTCTCGGGCGGCCGAGTGGCCCAGTTCTCATGCCTAGCACGGCGTGCACGCGTACACGGGAGATCCCGTCATTTCTCTCGGGATCATCGACGGCCCTCGGCTGACTTCTCGCTCTTTCCCCTCCCTCTCTCTCTCCCTCGCCCGATCGGATCACGAGATCGCCCGCGCTTATGGCTGATCGCGTTCAGCTGATCAGTGCGATCGCACCCAGAGAGAATGATCTCTCTTTCCCCCTCCCTCGTCCCTCGAGCGGCGATCGCGGCGAGTTTCCCCCCCGCCGCACTCGCCGCCGAGAGAAAACTCGGCGAGACGCTGCCGGAGGATTGTCCTCCTCCCCCTCGCGCGACCCAAGACGCGCCCCCGGGATCACGTGCGATCGCATAAGGAAACGAGGCGATCGTTTCTCGCGCGCCGAGTAAGCGCGATCGATCGATTCTCGCGCCGCGACGACCTCGTTCGTGTGTCATTTACACGGGGGAGACGGGGGGGTAGGGTAAGGTAAAAGGGCGCTCGGTCGCCCCTGCGGACGATCCGGGCTCGCGGGGATGTAAAATAAGAAAATAAATGGAGTGAGACTTTAATAAAAAAATGTTCATTATAATACGTTACACAGTTATCTATTTTTAAATACAATATATTACAGAGAGAGAAACACACAATTATAATTTATTGTTATTAATATTATGTCTATTGTATTTAGCTTACGGTTATTATTATTATTATTATTATCGTTATCGTAACTATGCGCCGGCCTCGATGAATATATAAGGCAGCGGGAAAAAAATTATGTGTAATGGGAGACTAATTAATGCGTACATTTGTTTTTTTTCTTTTACTCATTAGGGCAACTGCACGGTCGATTATTACGGCTGTATTAATCCCCAGTAGCTGTGCAACAGTAACGGCGATATTGGTAATAAATAGTTAACGTAAGGATAAATATTTACGCTACCGCGGCAGTGTACTTCCTGGATTCTGTGGGCAAGGGGCTTGATTTCCTCTAATTATCAGGACTATATCGGCTAATATTCTACATGATACCCCTCCCCGCTATTCCAAATATCGGCTACTCAATGATGGTCGGACATCAACAAGCAGCGTTTATATATATATATATATTTAAAATTATTTCCCCCCCCCCCCTCATAAACTGTGTCACAGACAAGAGTTACTGATAATTTCTTCTTTCTTCTTTTTTTTATGAATAACTACACGAGCGATTTGATTTCCTTATAAATCTCGGCATCCCGGAGATGGTAGAACGATCGGAGTTATCAACGGAAATATATCGAAAGTATGTGTACTTTTTATATGTATGCGTGTGTGTTTTTTCTTCTGTATGTGTGGTGGATGGGTGGACACGTAAAGTTATATAAGGTTATCTAAAAATGAATACGAGTACAAAAACTGCTCGATTTGACGCGGTGGTAGAAATCATTTTGATGCAGCGAGTGTATCTTGGACTTTACACACTTCACACAAACACTTTGGCGAGAGCGTCGGCGCCGGCGCTCGCGATAAACGGTCGCGACGGGTGGAACGCCACGTCGAGGATGCTCTCGTCGAATTTCTTCCGATGCGCTGTTATCTCCTGAACACAAGTCTTGTTGTCCATGTTCCACAATCTTATACTGCAATCGTGACCTGCAATCGCGACGATAAGCACCGAGTTAGAGACTAGAGTTTCTTTTCCTTTTTTTTCTTAACTCGATCATTTCGTGCCATCAAGTTTTGTTGTCACGACAGATCGAAAAGATGCTCCTTCTACTTACTTCCCGAAAGTAAATATAAACCATGAGGATCTACGGCGAGACTAGTAACCGCGTCCAAATGCGCTACCATTGCGTGGGCAAGAGTAGCCGACCGGTGATCGTAAAAACGAATATGCCGATCCTCGTGCGCGGCCACGACGAGCGGTAACGTCGGATGCGCTACTACGCGATTCACGCCTTTCGTCTCGTTCGCCTCGAGTCGCGCCACGATGGCGCCGGTTTCAGTGTCAAATACCACGCAAGCTCCTTCATAAGCCACGACCAGCTTGTGCGGCTCGTCCCTGATAAAGTCAACCGAAGTCGGTATGCCATCTACAAAAGAGAAAACGAAAGCAGGCCGTTACGACACGTTGGTCAGTCACAAGCGCGGCGACACAGAGAGAGAACTTACATTTGATCAATATTTGCTAGATAAAGCTGTGCAAACTTGAGACTCCCGTGTTGCTTTAATATACAGTTTGCTATTTGCTAATCGCGATCTAACGGCGCATCAATTTCAAGCTTAGCGTGGGATAAGTTTGCGTACCTTGTTCCGAAACATACGTATTGAGAAGAGGTTGCGGGGCCTGTGGCGCCCATAATTTTACAGTTCCGTCCGCACTGAACGACAGCATAGTACGTAAATACATGCTCAAGCCCCAAACGGCGTTCGTGTGTCCTGTTAACGTATGACTAAGGACACTTGGTTCATACGAGTCGTACGGATCGATGTTGGCCGACGGGAGCGTCCAGCAATGGATATTGCCGTCTAGACCACCGCTGTAACACCGGTTACCCATACTGCACATAGCCAGACACAATACAGGTCCAGTGTGTGATCTGAACGTGTAAAGTGGTTCTACATCTAACGAGGCTGACCTGCGAGGAGATAAAAAGAAATGTATATGCAACGAATAGATGCAAAATACACAGCGTACGTTCTTAAAACGATACGCTGCGAACGATCAGCTGTTCCCGCGGCAAGATGGAATTTACGAACTTTTTCGCTGGTACAGTCTTATGAAGATTCCACAATTTCAGCGTGTGATCATCGCTCGCGGTGATAAGGACTGGATCTGTGGGATGGAAGACAAGCGCCCTGACAGCGTCAAAATGCGATCGTAACGTATACTTCGCATTCCACGTTTTCCTGAAGGTCTCCTTCGTGGTGGAAACCATCTGTCGGGCGAAATAACGGTGTTGCAAGCATTAATAAATCACGGACTCACGTAACACAGGAAGAATCGTCAACTTACATCATACGATATTTCCGCATCATTGTTAACACATAATTGTTCTAATTCTCCTAATTCCAGCGTAGAATCACCTTCCTTATTTGGGCGTCTTGGGTCTGGCAATCCTCTATGTAATGCTGCATCTTCGGAGTAAATATTGAATCAGCAAATTGCAAAGCGTAACGTTATACAGGGTGTAACTAATTCACGCCCACCATTTATGCAGTGACATTTATCATGAAAGACTGAGTTCGTTTAATAGTTCATTTCATTAAATAAATATTAGTCAATCGGCATCGTTTTTTTAAACAGACACACGACGGACACCGCTAAAGGCCGAATCAGATTAGCAATTATCGATGCGGATTGGATTGGAATTGGCGATTGTCTTCCAGCCAAGGAGAGCCGATTAAATCGCTGGTTGCTTTGCTCTCATTGGCTGAAGGACAATCGCCAATTCCAGTTCAATCCGCGTCGACAATCGCTAGTCTGATTCGGCCTTTAGTAGATGCGTGGCCCACGAACGGGCAAGAGCGATACTGATCGGCTGATTTTTAATCAACAATAACTACTTTAGAAAGCATAATTAAAAAAAATGGTTCGGGACTTTCCGACTCGAGTTTTACACGAGAAATATCACTGTATGAATAGTGGGTGCGAATTAGTTTGCACCCTGTATATTTTAATATGCTCAAACAACTCTACTGAATGAAACAGCACTTTATTATAGTGTTTTGAAAAGCTCTCGAGGTAAGCTGCAAGAATATGTAATGAAAAGTAGGGAGTTCCATTTAAAAAAACAAAGTTGAACTCCATATGATCTTGGGACATTGACTCAAGGTCAAACCAATGAAACCGTCTTATGTCCCCCTTGGAACCAAACAACTTTTGTCTGAAACGTTTTTCCGTATCTTTCATATTTTTCGAGATATTTGCCTGGGGCGATTAAAGTGAAACACCCTGTACAAAAACGTTGGAAACACGCGTAAATAATGTTAATACGGCCCGGTGCTTACTCCATTCTGAAGAATTCATTTCCAGATGAATAGAACCAGGCGGTGACTCTTCGATTTCTGTGAGAAGATTTAATTCGTTTAACACTTCTTCCGCTTCTGCATCTGTATCGATGTCCTCCGTTAGAAGAGGCATGCTAGATGCCTGCAAGGCCAAAGACGAGAATCATATCGATAGAACGCGCACGTCGCAAACAAGTATAAAGTAACGTCAGAAATTACTTTATTTGGTTTGGTATCTGTACTTGCGTCGTAAATTTCGTCTTCTCCGTCTCCCTCCTCCTCTTCCATGTCCATATCCGTGTGACGCAAAAATTCGAAATTCGCTATAACAGCCGCTTCCGTGTCTAATATCATTGCTTCTGCTATAGAAGATGGCTGCTGCTGAAATCAAGCTTCTATCTTAGAAATTGCACGAGAGCGCTTTTCCACTGCTCTCTTTTATTATAATCTCGTTGCAATTTTTTACTTGAATATACGCGGAGCTTAACAGCGTTGCAACAAGCAATTCGAGTTGTTTTATCTCAAGTTTTAACACTTATCCGCACCTTTTTGGGTGGGTGTTTTCCTCGGCGCATGAGACTTTCCTCGCTACATTCCTGCTTAACCCGCAATGCCTCATTTCCATTTAAGGCTGGAGTATTCATCTCCTCTGTGTCTGTATTATTGTTTAAGCCAAGCAGAGATCGCACTCTGTTTGACCGTACATCTATTATCGTATCAGTATATCCAATTTCTTGCAAATACCTGAAACAAATATCAAGACGTCTCTTTGTAAATTTCGGGCGCTGACGTCTCCTATTCTGTCTCACAGTTGTCCCAAATTGAATGCAAAGTAAAAGCGCAAAAATCAATCAACATCGGCGGCTTAAAAGCTCCAAAGTATTCCCCAGATTACAAACGGATTTTACGTACTGCCTCAGAAGTTGACGACCTTGTCTCCAACTGACATTACTGACGGATGTAAATGAAGCTTCTCCGTCTCCTCCTCCTCCGCCGCCGCCGCCGCCGCCATCGCTACCGCTTTCGGAGATATTGCACGTGGTACCTTCCTCATAAAGAGGCGGCTTGATGTCCCCTTGCATCACCAGGTCGGTACCATACTTTAGTTTATGATACCTCGCTCTACAGAAATTACATTGCTTAAGACATGGCATTGCAGGGTCACTGTAAGATAGACACTACTACAGACGCGACGCGGTCTAATGACA